GAGAGTTTGAGTAAGGCAGTTTTGGTGGAGTGTAGGGGACGGAAGCCGGACTGTAGGGGATCGAGGAGGTTGTTGTCGTTGAGGTGAGAGCATAGGCGGGTGTAGACTAGGCGCTCGAGGAGTTTAGATGTAAATGGGAGCAGGGAGATGGGTCTGAGGTTGTTCGGGTCATTGGGGTCCAGGGAGGGCTTTTTAAGTATGGGGGTGATGTGTGCATGTTTCAGAGGGGAAGGGAAAGTGCCGGAGGAGAGGGAGAGATTAAAGATGTGGGTGAGGGAGCGTAGGATGGAGGGGGAGGGAGGTTGTAGGAGTTGTGAGGGGATAGGGTCGAGGGGGCAGGTGGTGAGGCGGGCATCAGAGAGGATCTTGGAGACTTCTTCGATGGTAGTAAGGTCAAAGGTGTGGAGTGTTGGGGGAGCTTCAGTATGAGGAATGTAGGGTGGGGTGGGAGAGGAGGTCAGAGCAGTGGTGGGGTCTGATGCTGATGTATTGTGATCTCCCAAGGATGCCTTATGGTTGGCAGTGAAAGAAGGGGAGATCACAGTCTCAAAGGACCTTTGGAAAAAATCCTTGATTGCTTCCCTCCGAGTCTCTTAGGGCTTGTTCACTCTTGACTAATTTCTAACTCTTGCCAAACGCCCCTATAGCGTTTGACAGGCATTAGATAGGCATTTGGATAGTGTTTTAACGCTCCCCAAATGCTCTATGAGCGTTTTTGAGGCGTTTCCAAGCATTAAAACCACACCACAAATGCCTATAATGAAGTTTAATGGTATAAAACGCCTCGCAAACGCCCCTCAAATGCTTACCAGGCGTTTGAGGAGCGTCACCATGGACTTGAATGGGAGGCTTCAACTCCTCCTGACTCGACATGAGGCGTCAATTTTGATGCGACGCTAACGTTTTTGCGTTTGAGGAGCGTTAAAAACGCTTCCCAAACTCCTGTCTAATGCCTGCTAACAAAGATAGTGTGAACTTAGCCTTAGACAGTCTAACTAGACCTGTATACCTTACCTCCCTAGCACATAGTGATGCAGGATAACACAGCTGTAGGTGCTCTGGGGATGTTTGCAGGCAATCGGTGGGAGAGCTTCTGAAAGACACATCTACACAGACCCATTGGTAGGTTTCTGCTCTGGTTTCAAGAATGTGTCATTCATTCATTCTATCAAAAAATAGAATGTGTCAATCATTCATTCATTCTATCAAGAAAATAGAATGTGTCAATCATTCATTGTAATATTACACAGTAATAATGCATATTGTAGCTGACGGACATCATTGTATGCTGATTGCTGGCACTCTACGCCCTATGGACCAGTTACATTTGCTTCCGTCTCGGATATTAAAGGGCTGTAGTTTGTAACTCAACTATATCGCTTGTGTAACTGAAGCACTGCTGTATCTGTAAGCTGGTAAGCAGTCATTTAAAAAAAAAAATAATAATAATGTTTAAACAGAAGCGGCATTTGCTCTTTCCTTTATAAATCTGTCTTCCAGTGCTTTGCTTTTTTGATCTATGACTGCTCCAATCTCTGCGTGGGTGTGTGATTTTTTTTTAAGCCTCTATAAATATAGCTGTGTATTAATGTTTTTGGGGGGGTTGTGATTTGTCTGTACAACAGCAAATGGATTTTACTTCTTGCTATGAATATAAGGCAACACAAAAATTTCTAATAATTAACTATTTTAAAGGTTTAATGTTTAAAGTGTATGGTACCCCAACATTTCATGAGATCACATATTAAAAAAAGTTTGTTTTTTTTTGGACACAGTACAGGAGATGAGATATATATATATATATATATATATATATATATATATATATATATATCTACACACACACACACACAAACATTTTATTTATTTTCCAGGTACTTACAGTCATGGCCGAAATTGTTGGCACCCTTGATATTTTTCCTGAAAATCAAGTATTTCACACAAAAAAGGTATTGCATTAACACATGTTTTGCTATACACATGTTTATTCCCTTTGTATGTATTGGAACAAATATAAAACAGAGGCAGAAAAGCAAATATGACATAATGTCACACAAAACCCCAAAAATGGGCTGGACAAAAGTATTGGCACCCTTAACTTAATATTTGGTTGCACACCCTTTGGAAAACATAACTGAAATCAGTCGCTTCCTATAACCATCAATAAGCTTCTGACACCTCTCACCCGGAATTTTGGACCACTCTTCCTTTGCAAACAGCTCCAGGTCTCTCTTATTGGAAGGACACCTTTTCCCAACAGCAATTTTAAGATCTCTCCACAGGTGTTCAATGGGATTTAGATCTGGGCTCATTGCTGGCCACTTCAGAACTCTCCAGCGCTTCTTTGCCATCCATTTCTGAGTGCTTTTTGACGTATGTTTGGGGTCATTGTCCTGCTGGAAGACCCAGGATCTTGGACGCAAACCCAGCTTTCTGACACTGGGCCCTACAGTGCGACCCAAAATCCTTTGGTAATCCTCAGATTTCATGATGCCTTGCACACAGTCAAGGCACCCAGTGCCAGAGGCAGCAAAACAACCCCAAAACATCATTGAACCTCCACCATATTTTACCGTAGGTACTGTGTTTTGTTCTTTGTAGGCCTCATTCCGTTTTCGGTAAACAGTAGAATGATTGCTTTACCGAAAAGCTCTATCTTGGTCTCATCTGTCCACAAGACGTTTTCCCAGAAGGCTTTTGGCTTACTCAAGTACATTTTGGCAAACTGTAGTCTTGCTTTTTTATGTCTCTGTGTCAGCAGTGGGGTCCTCCTGGGTCTCCTGCCATAGCGTTTCATTTCATTTAAATGTCGACGGATAGTTCGCGCTGACACTGATGCTCCCTGAGCCTGCAGGACAGCTTGAATGTCTTTGGAACATGTTTGGGGCTGCTTATCCACCATCCGGACTATTCTGCGTTGCAATCTTTCATCAATTTTCCTCATCCGTCCACGACCAGGGAGATTAGCTACAGTGCCATGGGTTGCAAACTTCTTGATAATGTTGCGCACTGTGGACAAAGGCAAATCTAGTTCTCTGGAGATGGACTTGTAACCTTGAGATTGTTGATATTTTGCCACAATTTTGGTTCTCAGGTCCTCAGACAGTTCTCGTCTCCTCTTTCTGTTGTCCATGGCGCTTAGTGTGGCACAGACAGACACACAATGCAAAGGTTAAGTGAACGTCTCTCCTTTTTATCTGCTTTCAGGTGTGATTTCTATATTGCCCACACCTGTTACTTGCCCCAGGTGAGTTTACAGGAGCATCACATGCTTGTAACATTCTTATTTATCCGCAGTTGTGAAAGGGTGCCAATACTTTTGTCCAGCCCATTTTTGGAGGTTTGTGTGACATTATGTCGAATTTGCTTTCTTTCCTCCCTTTTTTTGTTTTGTCCCAATACACACAAAGGGAATAAACATGTGTATAGCAAAACATGTGTTAATGCAATACGTTTCGTGAGAAATACATGATTTCCTGGAGAAATATCAAGGGTGCCAACAATTTCGGCCATGACTGTATATAGCACCGTCAATTTACACAGTACTTAGTGTACTGTGGGGCTGCACAGTGGCTTAGTGGTTAGCACATCTGCCTTGCAGTAAATGGGTCATGGGTTAAATTCTGGACCATGGTGCCTCCTGCATGGAGTTTGCATGTTCTCCCTCTGCTTGCGTGGGTTTCGCCCAGGTACTCCGGTTTCCTCCCACACTCCAAAAACATGCTGGTAGGTTAATTGGATCTTGTCTAAATTGTCCCTAGTATATGTGAGTTAGGGACCTTAGATTGTACACCCCTTGAGGGTTAGGGACTGATGTGAATGTACAATTTATATGTAAAGCGCTGCATAAATGGACGGCACTATAAGGCACTAAAGTACCTGAAATAAATAAATATATATTGTACATTCACATCAGTCCCTAACCCTCGAGGGGCGTACAATCTAAGGTCCCTAACCTACATTCATACATACACATACTAGGGCCAATTTAGACAGGATCCAATTAACCTACCAGCATGTTTTTGGAGGCAAACATGTTGCCTTTCTATTTTAAACTGAATGGGGTTTTTTTTCAAGATAGGGGTTCCCATATACCGTATTTTTCGCTCCATAAGACGCACCTGACCATAAGACGCATCTAGGTTTTAGAGGCGGAAAACAAGAAAAAAATATTCTGAACCAATGGACTGCAGACACAGTACAGAAAATGACCAGAGACTGCAGGCATAGTACAGGAAATGACCAGAGACTGCAGGCATAGTACAGGAAATGACCAGAGACTGCAGGCATAGTACAGGAGATGACCAGAGACTGCAGACACAGTACAGGAGATGACCAGAGACTGCGGACACAGTACAGGAGATGACCAGAGACTGCGGACATAGTATAGGAGATCACCAGAGACTGCGGACATAGTACAGGAGATGACCAGAGACTGCGGACAGTACAGGAGAAGACCAGAGACTCCAGACATACTACAGGAGATGACCAGAAACTGTGGACATAGTACAGGAGATGACCAGAGACTGCGGACATAGTACAGGAGATGACCAGAGACTGCGGACATAGTACAGGAGATGACCAGAGACTGCGGACATAGTACAGGAAATGACCAGAGACTGCGGACATAGTACAGGAGATGACCAGAGACTGCGGACATAGTACAGGAGATGACCAGAGACTGCGGACATAGTACAGGAGATGACCAGAGACTGCGGACACAGTACAGGAGATGACCAGAGACTGCGGACACAGTACAGGAGATGACCAGAGACTGCGGACACAGTACAGGAGATGACCAGAGACTGCGGACACAGTACAGGAGATGACCAGAGACTGCGGACACAGTACAGGAGATGGCCAGAGACTGCGGACAGTACAGGAGATGACCAGAGACTGCGGACAGTACAGGAGATGACCAGAGACTGCGGACACAGTACAGGAGATGACCAGAGACTGCGGACACAGTACAGGAGATGACCAGAGACTGCGGACAGTACAGGAGATGGCCAGAGACTGCGGACAGTACAGGAGATGACCAGAGACTGCGGACAGTACAGGAGATGACCAGAGACTGCGGACATACAGGGGTTGACCAGAGACTGCGGACACAGTACAGGGGATGACCAGAGACTGCGGACAGTACAGGGGATGACCAGAGACTGCGGACAGTACAGGGGATGACCAGAGACTGCGGACAGTATAGGGGATGACCAGAGAATATGGACAGTATAGGGGATGACCAGAGACTGCGGACAGTGCAGGAGATGGCCAGAGACTACGGACAGTGCAGGGGATGACCAGAGACTGCGGACAGTGCAGGGGATGACCAGAGACTGCGGACAGTGCAGGGGATGACCAGAGACTGCGGACAGTGCAGGGGATGACCAGAGACTGCAGACAGTACATGAGATGACCAGCGACTGCGGACAGTACATGAGATGACCAGCGACTGCAGACAGTACAGGGAATGACCAAGAGACTGGGGAGGGTGGGGGAGTGGGTACCTGAACTTGACAGGTACCTGCTCCCACTTCCGTGGAGTTGTCCTCCCTTTAATGTGGGCACCCAGCTGACAGCCGGGTGCCCAGTGCCCATGCGCAAGAAGTGCTGCGCTTTGTGATTGGTCCGGCATCTTCTGGGACCTGCCATGTGTCGCAGAAGACGCCGTACCATTCACAAATGCAGCGCTTCTCGCACATGTGCACAGGGCACCCGGCTGTCACAGCGGAGAGCTCACACTACAGAATGCCAGCGTGGGAAGACTGTACAGTGCAGGACCGAGGAACAGGTAAGGTTCTGTTACAGAGACGAGCGGCCGGCCTGGTATTCTTACACGGTGGGGTGGTGGGAATACCGGACCGGCCGCTCCATAAGACGCACTGACATTTCCCCCCCTTTTGTTTTGGGGAAAAAAGTGCGTCTTATGCAGCGAAAAATACGGTACTTGAAAGAGTAGTTGATGCTTGGAATAAACGTCCAGCAGACGTAGTGAGCCAGTTAATAGTAAATAGCTTCAAACATGCCCACAGAAAAAAAAACACACGAAAAAGGGCAGACTCAATGGACCACTTGGTCTTTTTCTGCCGACACTTTTCTATGTTTCTATACTTTAATATAATATCTGTCTGTCAGATTACATAATTATAAATGATACAATTGTAGTAGAGTTATGAAGTATTTAGCTACTCTAACTACTAGAGTAATTTTTTCTCTATATAATAATGTCGCTGATGGTGTATGTTATGAATACAATACATCCATATGTGTTCCTAGTTGCTTATGTATTCAATATACGTTGACACTTCATGGGATATTGTTACTTGGCTGGGTTTCGGAATAATTGATCATAATTCTTCTATCGTTTACAACCCAATTTCACCAAAACCAGTGACGGGTTGATTGCAAATCTCTCCAATGGGGGCACAAATAGCAACAAAACATATTTTTGTAGAATTGGAAAACCTGTGAATCTCTGAAATTTTTATTGCTGTCTGTTTCTTCCTGTTTATCCCTTTGACACCTAGGGGGTTATTTACTAAAAATGGAAAGTGCAAAATCTGGTGCAGCTCTGCATAGAAACCAATCCGCTTCCAGGTTATATTGCCAAAGCTTAACTGAACAATCTGAAGTTAGAAGCTGATTGGCTACCATGCACAAGTGCACCAGATTCTGAGTGCTTCTGTTTTAGTAAATCTCCCCCCTAGTGTCACAGGGATAAAAAGCAATATAAACTCTCCCTTAGAGTCACAGACATCAATAAAAACAAGTTTCTCCCCTTCTCTACTCCTTCTAAAACTAAAAATATTTTGGTTGGAGATGGCTTTAGGTTTTATCATAAATTATGAGATCCATTAAAAAAAATTTTTTTTGGAAAATCTGCTAATATGTGACATAATGACAAAACAATGCCACAATAATAAAGGCATATTGCATGTATAAATTTAATTTTGTCTCAAGAGTACTTTGATTCTGTAGCATTTTTTCAAGTGTTTGGGGACTCGGGGAGGGAACTTGAAAAAACCATTTAGATACTGCTGTCTATGTTGGCCTATTTCTACAGTAGTTTTTGGATCTAGAAAATACCATGGCTAATTATGCACCTTTTACTTTGTAATAAGCACCCTGTAGTTGTGGCAGAGAAATATGTAGGAAGTCCCCAAATGCAAACGTACACTGCCTGTAAACATCAAAGTATGGTCGGATGCACATGCATGACCTAGATGCCTGAAATGTTTTCATAGGTCCAGCTTCAGATGTAAATGCCCAGGACATCTGAACAGAAAGGAAGAAGATGCATTTTGACATCTCTGGTGCAGAATTATCTTGGGGGAAACAATAGTGATAAGATGAGATCTTCTGACTTGTCCGATTGCCAATGCCCCATCACTTCACACTGATGCGTGCAGGTTCTCATAGACATGAAACTATGCCTCAATCTGTCTTTGTAGGCAATCATCTGGTATCTACGGCTACCTTTACATTTAATAAACAGGGGAAGAAAACAGCATATCCTCTTGACTTATATTCATGGCTGGCAAGCAGTTCTATACAGTATACAGGTGAAACTCCAAAAATTAGTATATCGTGCAAAAGTTAATTTATTTCAGTAATGCAACTTGAAAGGTGAAACTAATATATGAGATAGACTCATTACATGCAAAGCAAGATAGTTCAAGATGTGATTTGTCATAATTGTGATGATTATGGCTTACAGCTCGTGAAAACCCCAAATCCACAATCTCAGAACATTAGAATATTACATGCAATCAATAAAACAAGGATTGTACATAGAACAATATCGGACCTCTGAAAAGTATAAGCATGCATATGTACTCAGTACTTGGTTTGGGCCCCTTTTGCAGCAATTACTGCCTCAATGCGGCGTGGCATGGAAGCTATCAGCCTGTGGCACTGCTGAGGTGTTATGGAAGACCAGGATGCTTCAATAGCGGCCTTCAGCTCTTCTGCATTGTTCGGTCTCATGTCTCTCATCTTTCTCTTGGCACTGCCCCATATATTCTCTATGGGGTTAAGGTCAGGCGAGTTTGCTGGCCAGTCATGCACAGTAATCCCACGGTCATTGAACCAGGTTTTGGTGCTTTTGGCAGTGTGGGCAGGTGCCAAGTCCTGCTGGAAAATGAAGTCAGCATCCCCATAAAGCTTGTCTGCGAAGGAAGCATGAAGTGCTCCAAAATCTCCTGGTAGACGGCTGCGTTGACCCTGGATTTAATGAAGCACATTGGACCAACACCAGCAGATGACATGGCTCCCCAAATCAACACAGACTGTGGAAACTTCACACTGGACTTCAAGCATCTTGCAGTGTGTGCCTCTCCATTCTTCCTCCATACTCTGGATCCTTAGTTTCCAAATGAGATACAAAAATTGCTCTCATAAGACTTTGGACCACTGAGCAACAGACCAGGTCTGTTTTTCTTTAGCCCAGGTAAGACGCTTCTGACGTTGTTTGTTGTTCAGGAGTGGCTTGACAAGAGGAATACGACATTTGAAGCCCATGTCCAGGATCCTTCTGTTTGTGGTGGCTCTTGATGCACTGAGTCCAGCCTCAGTCCACTCCTTGTGAAAGTCCCCAACACTTTTTAATGGCCTTTTCCTGACAATCCTCTCCAGGCTGCGGTCATCCCTGCTGCTTGCGCACCTTTTTCTTCCACTTTTCCCTTCCACATAACTTTCTATTAATGTGCTTTTGATACAGCACTTTGGAACATCCAACTTCTTTTGCAATTACCTTTTGAGGCTTTCCCTCCTTATGGCGGGTGTCAATGATGGTTTTCTGCACAACTGTCAGGTCAGCAGTCTTTCCCATGATTGTGATTCCTACTGAACCAGACTGAGAGACCATTTAAAGGCTTAGTTACCCTTTGCAGGTGTTATGGCTTAATTAGCTGATCAGAGTGAGACTTTGAGCCTAGAATATTGCACCTTTTCACAATATTCTAATTTTCTGAGATTGTGGATTTGGGGTTTTCATGAGCTGTAAGCCATAATCATCACAATTATGACAAATCACGGCTTGAACTATCTTGCTTTGCATGTAATGAGTCTATCTCATATATTAGTTTCACCTTTTAAGTTGCATTACTGAAATAAATGAACTTTTGCACGATATTCAAATTTTTTGAGTTTCACCTGTATATATGTGAAAAACGCAGGTATTAAGGTTTATAATGCCTTTAAAGTTTTGATGCAATATTTTACAGCTGCCTTAAAACAAACATGTCTCTTTTCCCCCTACAGTGGCTAATTAAATATCTACAGCTGCACATACAGTATGCTGTATATTTCCTTCACTCTTCTGCCTACTCATTTAACCTCTTAGCGCCGGCGCCTCCCGGCCCTTTAAGAGTTTCAGAAGTTGGGCGGGTTTTTAGAATCATGTGACCACCGTGATTCGCCGTCACGGCGGTCACATGATTGGAAAAGGTCCCGATCAAAAGGGGGGATATCGGGATTTTTCCGTGAGTCACGGACATATGTGCTGGGAGCGCGCAAGGTGCGCACTCTCAGCACATATGTATTTTCTAATTTCATCATCAAGGGGTTAAGCTCTGGTAACAAAGAAAATACTTGAAGCTGGATGAGCTGTGTGTAATCTCTAATTGGATGGACTCAGAGCTTACACAAGGCTGTCTTCACTCCTGGTTGCCAACCAGAGCAGTAGTGAAGTGAAGGAATGGTGAGTGTATGCTGCTGGGGAGGGAGGATCAAAACAAAACTGTTAGTTTGCTGCACATGGGTAAAACACAAGTTTGCTTTAAATATTGGAATAAACAGTTATGCAGAGAACTATTCATATTAAACTTTCTTTCACTAATTTGTTAATTTACCACTAAGTCCTCATGCACACTGGACGTTTTTACAGCGGCTGTTTTTGGCTTTTGACGTTTTTTTTCTACAGCCAGTAAACCCCCCAGCATGTAATCCTATGTGTCCATGCACACAGAGACTGTAATCAACAACAATTCTTGGCTGGAAAAAAAACCCAGGACTAGGGGGTTTCTAGAGGAGTTTTTTAGCTGGAAAAACGCTCTAACGCGGAAAAACGAGGTAAAACCTCTGCAAACCGGCGTTTTTGTATTTTTTTGACCAAAAAAAACGCTAAAAAAATGCAAACGCAGGAAAACATCGCTAAACGCTAATGCAAAAACACTAAAAACCTCACATTTTTAACGTGACCCTACACCGCTAATGTTGCGAGTGTTATCAAAACGTCCAGTGTGCATGAGGGCTTAAAGAGGATCCTAACCCTAAAAAAAAAATGAAAAGTCAGCAACTACAATTACTGTAGCTGCTGACTTTTAATAAATTGACACTTACCGTATTTTTTGCTCTATAAGACACACTTTTTCCCCCCAAAAAATGGGGGGAAAATGTCTGTGTGTCTTATGGAGTGAATATGGAGCGGCCGCCCGGTATTCCCACAGCCACCGTGTTAGAATACCAGACCGGCCGCATGGCTCTTCTGTGCAGCAGAACCTATTCCTCGATCCTACCTATTCCTCAGTCCAGCGGTGTCCTCACCGTCTTCTCTCCCTGGCATCTCTAGTGGGGCACCCGGCTGTGACAGTTTGCGGCTTCACAGCCGGGTGTCCACTGTGCATGCGCGAGAAGCACTGTGCTTTGTGAAAGGTCCTTCAGTCTTCTGGGACCTGTCACGTGTCCCAGAAGATGGAGAGGGAGGACAACTCAGCGGAAGTGGGAGCGGGTACCTGTCAAATTTGGGTACCCACCCCCTCCTCCCTTCCACTCCCCAAAGGTCTGCAATCTCTGGTCATCTCCTGTACTATGTCTGCAGTCTCTGGTCATCTCCTGTACTATGTCCGCAGTCTCTGGTCATCTCCTGTAGTATTCCCACAGCCTCTGGTCATCTCCTGTACTATGTCCGCAGTCTCTGGTCATCTCCTGTACTGTGTCCGCAGTCTCTGGTCATCTCCTGTACTATGTCCGCAGTCTCTGGTCATCTCCTGTACTAATCCGCAGTCTCTGGTCATCTCCTGTACTAAGTCTGAAGTCTCTGGTCATCCTCTGTACTATGCAGTCTCTGGTCATCTCCTGTACTATGTCCGCAGTCTCCGGTCATCTCCTGTACTATGCAGTTTCTGGTCATCTCCTGTACTATGTCCGCAGTCTCTGGTCATCTCCTGTAGTATGTACGCAGTCTCTGGTCATCTCCTGCAGTATTTCCACGGTCTCTGATCATCTCCTGTACTATGTCCGCAGTCTCTGATCATCTCCTGTACTATGTCCGCAGTCTCTGGTCATCTCCTGTACTATGTCCGCAGTCTCTGGTCATCTCCTGTACTGTGTCCGCAGTCTCTGGTCATCTCCTGTACTGTGTCCGCAGTCTCTTGGTCATCTTCTGTACTATGTCCGCAGTCTCTGGTCATCTCCTGTACTATGTCCGCAGTCTCTGGTCATCTGTACTATGTCCGAAGTCTCTGGTCATCTCCTGTACTATGTCTGCAGTCTCTGGTCATCTTCTGTACTATGTCCGAAGTCTCTGGTCATCTTCTGTACTATGTCCGAAGTCTCTGGTCATTTCCTGTACTATGTCCGCAGTCTCTGGTCATCTCCTGTACTGTGTCCGCAGTCTCTGGTCATCTTCTGTACTATGTCCGAAGTCTCTGGTCATTTCCTGTACTATGTCTGCAGTCCATTGGATCAGAGTATTTTTTTTTCTTGTTTTCCTCCTCTAAAACCTAGGTGCGTCTTATGGTCAGGTGCATCTTATGGAGCGAAAAATACGGTACTTGTCCAGGGATCTAGTGCTGACTTCACCTGGGCTGGTTCTTCGTCAGTCTTTTGGTCTCCTGCACTCCAACATGTTTACTAAAGAAAGCCGGCTGTGACTCCTTGTTCCTTCACAGCTGACCTTCCACTGCGTATGCAGGTGCTGTGCTTTGTGAATAGTCTAGTAACCTTTCAGAGCCTGTGATGTGTCCCAGAAGGCTGCGGGAAAAGAGGGGGAGTGGGGCAGAACTTCCGCTTGGATCACTTAGGTGACTTGAGTGGAAGTGGGATCGGGTACCTATCAAAACTAGTAATATGTAATATATGGCAGCTTATCTTTCCTTAAATATTCACCTGGTGATCCTGCCAGGAACAAGACCATGTACAAAAAGTTGTCCATATGCTGTGCAGGTTTGCGCAAATGTTTACATGCATATACCATAATTGAGCCCTACTGGATGCTTCTGCTGCTCAGGGCTGTTATCAAATATCAACAATGTGTAGCCAGTGGCTCTGCTGACTACACACTGTTGATGTTTGCATTTCCCCTAAAAGAGTCATTCAAGCGGCAGAATCACATAGACAGATTGGCCTCAGCCTTCAGCCATTCAGAATCGGCCAAGGTCATTCTCAGAATGCATTGGTGCTGCTTGAATGATTCGTTCAGGGGAGATGTAAACATCAATACTGTGTAGCATCGCTAGCTACACTTTATTGATGATTACAGTGCCTTGAAAAAGTATTCATACCCCTTGAAATTTTCCACATTTTGTCATGTAAATGTATTTTATTGGGATTTTATGTGATAGAACAAGTGACACATAATTGTGATGTGGAAGGAAAAATGATAAACGGTTTTCAAAATTTCTTACAAATACATATCTGACAAGTATTCAATGTATTCAGCCCCCTTTACTCTGATAACCCTAACTAAAATCTAGTGGAACCAATTGCCTTCAGAAATCACCTAATTTGTTAATGGAATCCACCTGTGTGTAATTTAATCTCAGTAAAAATACAGTTGTTCTTTGAAGCCCTCAGAGGTTTGTTAGAAAACACTAGTGAACAAACAGCATCACGAAGGCCAAGGAACACACCAGACAGGTCAGGGATAAAGTTGTGGAGAAGTTTAAAGCATAGTTAGGTTATAAAAAAATATCCCAGGCTTTGAACATCTCACAGAGCACTGTTCAATCCATCATCCAAAATGGAGAGTATGGCACAACTGCAGACCTACCGAGACATGGCCGTCCACCTAAACTGACAGGCCAGGTAATGAGAGCATTAATCAGAGAAGCAGCCAATAGGCCCCATGGTAACTGGAGGAGCTGCAGAGATCCACAGCTCAGCTGGGAGAATCTGTCCACAGGACAACTGTTAGTCGTGCACTCCACAAATCTGGCCTTCATGGAAGAGTGGCAAGAAGAAAGCCATTGTTGGAAGAAAGCTATAAGAAGTCCCATTACCTATTTGCAAGAAGCCTTGTGGGGACACAGCAAACATGTGGAAGAAGGTGTTCTGGTCAGATAAGACTAAAATTTAACTTTTTTGGCCTAAAAGCAAAACGCTATGTGTGGCAGAAAACTAACACTGCACATCACCCTGAACACATAATCCCCACTGTGAAACATGGTGGTGGCAGCATCATGTTATGGGGATGTTTTTCCTTAACTGGGACAGGGAAGCTGGTCAGAGTTGATGGGAAGATGGATGGAGCCAAATACAGAGCAATCTTAGAAGAAAACCTGTTAGAGTCTGCAAAAGAATTGAGACTGGAGCGGATGTTCACCTTCCAGCAGGACAACGACCCTAAACATACAGCCAGAGCTACAATGAAATGGTTTAGATCAAAGCATATTCATGTGTTAGAATGGCCCAGTCAAAGTCCAGATCTCAATCCAATGGAGAATCTGTGGCAAGACTTGAAAATTGCTGTTCACAGACGCTCTCCATCCAGTCTGACAGAGCTTGAGCTATTTTGCAAAGAATGGGCAAAAATGTCACTCTCTAGATGTGCAAAGCTGGTAGAGACATACCCAAAAAGACTTGCAGCTGTAATTGCAGCGAAAGGTGGTTCTACAAAGTATTGACTCCGGGGGGCTGAATAAAAATGCACACCACACTTTTCACATATTTATTTGTAAAAACTTTGAAAACCATTTAGCATTTTCCTTCCACTTCACAACTATGTGCCACTTTGTGCTGGTCTATCACATAAAATCCCAATAAAATACATTTATGTTTTTGGTTGTAACATGACAAAATGTGGAAAATTCAAGGGGTATAAATACTTTTTCAAGGCGCTGTACATGTTGGCTCTGAGCAGCTGCAGCATCCAATAGGGCCAATGTACATTGTTTGCATGTTGTTTGAGCATCAGCATACAGCATAACATCATTTCAAATACTGACGGATTTTTCTATTATTTTTTTAAACACTGCTCAACACAGCGCAGAATTATACTGCCCAGCACAGCTGTGTGAATGGGCCCCTAGCCTTTTTTACTGCTGCATACAAAACTAAATGCTGTAGAAATCTGTACACATTTTGGTGCCCATGTGATTGAGCCCTAAGGGGGAGTTCAGCTTACTTTGGAAAAATGTCCTGTTATGTCGCTGGGACAGGAGATGAAGGGAAATGTTCCCGATGGGATTTGGACATGACAGGGGTACTAACCATCTGCTTCATGTTGCAGTACAATGTGAAGCAGATGCAATTATTTCTTGTTCCAGACATTTTCTGATTATGCCTGCACAGGATAATCCCTTTACAATTACACACAAATTGTTTATATCAGTGTTAAATGAGGTTTGGACTGCTCAGGTGCGCAACCTAAAATTAGAAATATCAGTACATTTTAGAAATTACACCTGTCTATAAAGACTATTTATACAGATAGCAGTGCTTTTGTGCATGTGTAGAAGTGTGCGTAGGTGGGAGGTGAGAGCGAACTATAGAGCACCACAGGAAAATAATATGGGCCTTCTCAGTCTGCAATCGTAGATGTTAACCTGGAAAAAGAGAACTGGAGGGACCTGTTAGTGCATTCAGAAGCTAGTTCGCTAAGGTCAATTTGACTACCAGTACACTTCAAAGGCAATCTCTTAACAGAGGCCTAACCCATTTGAAAAGAAAAAAGATAGGAAGCAAACAAATGTTGGCGTTTGAACAGATTTCCAGCATACATTGTCATCTATTGTCAGCCTAATATGTCATCTATTGTCAGCCCAATATATGGATATTGTTAATTGCCAAAGGCTTCGTGTACACAAGCCTACCACGACCGCCGGGTGCAGGAAAATGCTAATCGCGGCAAAAGCACGGTACCGTGGTTGCCGTGGTTTTGCCACGTTTTGCGTTTTCCTGTGGCTGGCAGTCAGGGTAGGCTTGTGTACACAAAGCCTTATGCAGGCCATAGACGGGCCATTTATTGGCCGATAACTGAAAAATCAGTCGTTGCCGATGCTGCCACCAATGTCTACGAAAAATGGCCGTTTTTCGTGGATTCTCCAGCACGACCGATTAAAAAGAAATGAGAAGATCCACAAAAAACGGCCAACGGCATTGCCCCACTAATGGCATGAATATTGGCCGATTTTTCATGCGGACAAAAATTCGGCCGATAAACGACCTGTCTATGGCCTGCATTAGGCAATTAACAATACCCATGCCATGATATTAGGCTGACAATAGATAACAATGTATGCTGGAAATCTGTTCAAACGTCAACATTTGTTTGCTTCGTATCTTTTTTCTTTTTGAATGGCAGACAAAACTTTCCTATCCTGAACGTGATTCTTTTGTGTTCAGGAGAGGGTGGTTTAACTTCATCTAAACGCGGCAGCTCCTAAACTCTGCTAAATGCCTATGTGTACTGGACACGCAGGCTTTTATGGAGTGGAGTTTTGGAGCTTTGGCAAAAAAAATGCCAGAAGCTCCTAAACTCGAGTTTAGGAGTTCCTCGTATATATGAATTATGCACACTGGACGTTTTTACAGCTGCGGTTTTTGGCTTTTGACATTTGGCTATTTTCTACAGCCAGTAAACTCCCCAGTATGCTAACAGCAAATCCCCCTGCGCTCCACAGAACCTAGTGACCAAAAAGTCAGCTGCTATCACCTCTTCTTTATACCTCAAGATAGTGCACACAAATAATATTAATGGTGAAGCGCTCAACTTATATAAAAGTGAAAATTATCTCCTACCTAAATATTAATAAATTATTCCCAATAAAATATCTAGTGCAACGTCCCCACATATAAATTATACACCCCCTGGTGGTATAGTGATAATCAACCAATGCTTTATGAACTGTGCAAAGTGATACATATATCCAAAAACAATTCAATGAAAAATCAAATGCAAAATAATTAGTGATGCCACACTGTGCAAAAAA